CAGCTGCGAAAATCGCATGGTTTCTGGCCGCTAGCGTCGAAAATAGCGCCGTTTTCGGCAGTTAGCGGCAAAAATCGCCCGATTTTTGGCCGCTAGCGGCGAAAATCGCACGGTTTTTGGCCGCTAGCGGCGAAAATTGAGCTCTTTTTGGCCGGTAGTGGCGAAAATCGCGATTTTTGCCCGCTAGCTGCGAAAATCGCATGGTTTTTTGGCCGCTAGCGGCGAAAATCACGCGGTTTTTGGCCGGTAGCGGCGAAAATCGCGCTATTTTCGGCCGGTAGCGGCGAAAATCGCGATTTTTGCCCGCCAGCTGCGAAAATCGCATAGTTTTTGGCCGTTAGCGGCGAAAATCGCGCGGTTTTTGGCCGTTAGCGGCGAAAATAGCGCTAGTTTTGCCCGCCAGCATAAAAAATCGCATGGTTTTTGGCCGCTAGCGGCGAAAATCGTGCAATTTTTGGCCGCTAGCCGCGAAAATCGCACGGTTTTTGGCCTCTAGCGGCGCAAATCACGCTATTTTTGGCCGGTAGCGGCGAAAATCGCAATTTTTGCCCGCCAGCTGCGAAAATCGCACGGTTTTTGGCCGCTAGCGGCGAAAATCCCGCGATTTTTGGCCGGTAGCGGCAAAAATAGCGCTATTTTTGCCCGCCAGCTGCAAAAATCGCATGGTTTTTGGCCGCTAGCGGCGAAAATCGCGCAATTTTTGGCCGCTAGCGGCGAAAATCGCTCAATTTTTGGCCGCTAGCGGCGAAAATCGACCGGTTTTGGGCCTCTAGCGGCGAAAATCGCGCTATTTTTGGCCGGTAGCGGCGAAAATCGCGATTTTTGCCCGCCAGCTGCGAAAATCGCATTGTTTTTGGCCGCTAGCGGTGAAAATCGCGCGGTTTTTGGCCGGTAGCGGCGAAAATAGCGCTATTTTTGCCCGCCAACTGCAAAAATCGCATCGTTTTTGGCCGCTAGCGGCGAAAATCGCGCGGTTTTTGGCAGGTAGCGGCGAAATTCGCGCGATTTTTGCCAGCAAGCTGCAAAAATCGCATAGTTTCTGGCCGCTAGCGTCGAAAGTAGCGCGGTTTTCGGCTGTTAGCGGCAAAAATCGCCCGATTTTTGGCCGCTAGCGGCGAAAATCGCACGGTTTTTGGCCGCTAGCGGCGAAAATCGAGCTCTTTTTGGCCGATAGTGGCCAATATCGCGATTTTTACCCGCCAGCTGCGAAAATCGCATGGTTTTTGGCTGCTAGCGGCGAACATCGCGCGGTTTTTGGCCGGTAGCGGCGAAAATCGCGCTATTTTTGGCCGGTACCGGCGAAAATCGCTATTTTTACCCGCCACCTGCTTAAATCGCATAGTTTTTGCGCAAAATAGCGCGGTTTTCACAGTTAGCGGTAAAAATCGCCCGATTTTTGTCCGCTAGCGGCAAAAATCGCGATATTTTTGGCCGGTAGCGGCGAAAATCGCGATTTTTGCCCGCCAGCTGCGAAAATCGCATGGTTTTTGGCCGCTAGCGGCGAAAATCGTGCGGTTTTTGGCCGGTAGTGGCGAAAATCGCGCTATTTTTGGCCGGTAGCGGCGAAAATTGCGATTTTTGCCCGCCAGCTGCGAAAATCGCATAGTTTTTGCGCAAAATAGCGCGGTTTTCGGCCGTTAGCGGCAAAAATCGCCCGATTTTTGACCGCTAGCGGCGAAAATCGCACGGTTTTTGGCCGCTAGCTGCGAAAATCGCATGGTTTTTGCGCAAAATAGCGCGGTTTTCGGCCGTTAGCGGCAAAAATCGCCCGATTTTTGGCCGCTAGCGGCGAAAATCGCACGGTTTTTGGCCGCTAGCGGCGAAAATCGGGCTATTTTCGGCCGGTAGCGGCGAAAATCGCAATTTTTGCCCGCCAGCTGCGAAAATTGCATATTTTTTGGCCGCTAGCGGCGAAAATCGCGCGGTTTTTGGCCGGTAGCGGCGAAAATCACGCTATTTTTGGCCGGTAGCGGCGAAAATCGCGATTTTTGCCCGCCAGCTGCGAAAATCGCATGATTTTTGGCCGCTAGCGGCGAAAATCGCGCGGTTTTTGGCCGGTAGCGGCGTAAATCGCGCTATTTTTAGCCGGTAGTGGCGAAAATCGCTATTTTTGCCCGCCAGCTGCAAAAATCACATGGTTTTTGGCCGCTAGCGGCGAAAATCGCGCGGTTTTTGGCAGGTAGCGGCGAAATTCGCGCGATTTTTGCCAGCAAGCTGCAAAAATCGCATAGTTTCTGGCCGCTAGTGTCGAAAGTAGCGCGGTTTTCGGCTGTTAGCGGCAAAAATCGCCCGATTTTTGGCCGCTAGCGGCGAGAATCGCACGGTTTTTGGCCGCTAGCGGCGAAAATCGAGCTCTTTTTGGCCGATAGTGGCCAATATCGCGATTTTTACCCGCCAGCTGCGAAAATCGCATGGTTTTTGGCTGCTAGCGGCGAAAATCGCGCTGTTTTTGGCCGGTAGCGGCGAAAATCGCGCTATTTTTGGCCGGTGCCGGCGAAAATCGCTATTTTTAAAAAATCGCAATGGTTTTTGGCCGGTAGCGGCAAAAAAACGCGCTATTTTTGCCCGCCACCTGCGAAAATCGCATAGTTTTTGCGCAAAATAGCGCGGTTTTCACCGTTAGCGGCAAAAATCGCCCGATTTTTGTCCGCTAGCGGCAAAAATCGCGATATTTTTGGCCGGTAGCGGCGAAAATCGCGATTTTTGCCCGCCAGCTGCGAAAATCGCATGGTTTTTGGCCGCTAGCGGCGAAAATCGTGCGGTTTTTGGCCGGTAGCGGCGAAAATCGCGCTATTTTTGGCCGGTAGCGGCGAAAATTGCGATTTTTGCCCGCCAGCTGCAAAAATCGCATAGTTTTTGCGCAAAATAGCGCGGTTTTCGGCCGTTAGCGGCAAAAATCGCCCGATTTTTGACCGCTAGCGGCGAAAATCGCACGGTTTTTTTGCCGCTAGCTGCGAAAATCGCATGGTTTTTGCGCAAAATAGCGCGGTTTTCGGCCGTTAGCGGCAAAAATCGCCCGATTTTTGGCCGCTAGCGGCGAAAATCGCACGGTTTTTGGCCGCTAGCGGCGAAAATCGGGCTATTTTTGGCCGGTAGCGGCGAAAATCGCAATTTTTGCCCGCCAGCTGCGAAAATTGCATATTTTTTGGCCGCTAGCGGCGAAAATCGCGCGGTTTTTGGCCGGTAGCGGCGAAAATCACGCTATTTTTGGCCGGTAGCGGCGAAAATCGCGAATTTTGCCCGCCAGCTGCGAAAATCGCATGATTTTTGCCCGCTAGCGGCGAAAATCGCGCGGTTTTTGGCTGTAGCGGCGTAAATCGCGCTATTTTTAGCCGGTAGTGGCGAAAATCGCTATTTTTGCCCGCCAGCTGCAAAAATCGCATGCTTTTTGGCCGCTAGCGGCGAAAATCGCGCAATTTTTGGCCGCTAGCGGCGAAAATCGCACGGTTTTTGGCCTCTAGCGGCGAAAATCGCGCTATTTTTAGCCGGTAGTGGCGAAAATCGCGATTTTTGCCCGCCAGCTTCGAAAATCGCATGGTTTTTGGCCGCTAGCGGCAAAATCGCTCGGTTTTTGGCCGGTAGCGGCGAAAATAGCGCTATTTTTGCCCGCCACCTGCAAAAATCGCATGGTTTTGGGCCGCTAGCGGCAAAAGTCGCGCGGTTTTTGGCCGGTAGCGGCAAAAATCGCGCTATTTTTGCCCGCCAGCTGCGAAAATCCCATGGTTTTTGGCCGCTAGCGGCGAAAATCGCGCGGTTTTTGGCAGGTAGCGGCGGAATTCGCGCGATTTTTGCCAGCCAGCTGCAAAAATCGCATGGTTTCTGGCCGCTAGCGTCGAAAATAGCGCGGTTTTCGGCAGTTAGCGGCTAAAATCGCCCGATTTTTGGCCGCTAGCTGCGAAAATAGCACGGTTTTTGGCCGCTAGCGGCGAAAATCGCGCTATTTTTGGTCGGTAGTGGCGAAAATCGCGATTTTTGCCCGCCAGCTGCGAAAATCGCATGGTTTTTTTGCCGCTAGCGGCAAAAATCGCGCTATTTTTGGCTGGTAGCGGCGAAAATCGCGATTTTTGCCCGCCAGCTGCGAAAATCACATGGCTTTTTGTCCTTTGGTCCTTTGGTTTGAGAGGTTCACATGAGAGGATGTGCAGTGATTTAATATCCTGGGTGGTGGGTCGCGTCCCACCAGCCTACCTGCCACTATCCTGGGTGGTGGGTCGCGTCCCACCAGCCACTATCCTGGGTGGTGGGTGGCGTCCCACCAGCCTACCTGCCAATATCCTGGGTGGTGGGTCGCGTCCCACCAGCCTCCCTGCCACTATCCTGGGTGGTGGGTCGCGTCCCACCAGCCACTATCCTGGGTGGTGGGTGGCGTCCCACCAGCCTACCTGCCAATATCCTGGGTGGTGGGTCGCGTCCCACCAGCCTCCCTGCCAATATCCTGGGTGGTGGGTCGCGTCCCACCAGCCTCCCTGCCAATATCCTGGGTGGTGGGTCGCGTCCCACCAGCCTACCTGCCAATATCCTGGGTGGTGGGTCGCGTCCCACCAGCCTACCTGCCACTATCCTGGGTGGTGGGTGGCGTCCCACCAGCCTTCCTGCCACTATCCTGGGTGGTGGGTGGCGTCCCACCAGCCTACCTGCCACTATCCTGGGTGGTGGGTGGCGTCCCACCAGCCTTCCTGCCACTATCCTGGGTGGTGGGTGGCGTCCCACCAGCCTACCTGCCACTATCCTGGGTGGTGGGTGGCGTCCCACCAGCCTTCCTGCCACTATCCTGGGTGGTGGGTCGCGTCCCACCAGCCTACCTGCCACTATCCTGGGTGGTGGGTCGCGTCCCACCAGCCTACCTGCCACTATCCTGGGTGGTGGGTGGCGTCCCACTAGCCTTCCTGCCACTATCCTGGGTGGTGGGTGGGTCGCGTCCACCGTCCGAGCGTGTTGTAGAGGGTATTGAGCTCACTACAGCTACTTCTTTATGCACAACCTAGGTATTAAAACTCCTCTTTCCATTTTTTGTGTCTTTATTTAATGTTCTTCACAAAACAATTATATAGTTGGTTGTTCTGTGTTGTTCACTTCAGATAATACATAACCAAGAACTTGTAATAACTACAGCATTTCGTACACATCGGGAATGAAAACCAAAGTTCTAGTTGTGTATACATATAATAATAACATACTAGAGTATGTTTATTTTGTTCCCAGAAAATTGCAAATATATTTATCTTGCGTAAGGACTAAACATAGCCTTCCAATATATTATAATTTTAGTTAATATACATCACGATGACTACCTGTTGAGGATTGCGAAGGTCAATTTATATAATTAATTGCATTAAATATTATAAGTATAAACAATGTACCCAAATACTCTTTTGAGTGTATAACAATTTATAATTTACAAATAATATCAATCATACAGCTCTCTCCCTCACTACACTCTATAGCAGAAAATACAAACTCGGTGTTGAACAACCACACAACACAACCATTGGACACTATGTAATACACTTTGTTTTATTTATTTATTTATTTATTTATAATAAGTACATTGGGGTTTGTGAGAGATCATAATCTTGGTGTTCGTTCATTCTTACAAGTCCAGTAACACACAACGTTTGGGGCAGGTGTTGGAGAGGTTAGTGGTGGTGTTCCTCCAGTTCCTCCTTGATGTTGGAGTAGGTGGGAAGGTTGCTGGTAATGGTTGAAGACTAAGCATCCTCCAGCTCCTCCTTGATGTTGGAGTAGGTGGGAGGTTTACTGGCTGTGGATTCTCCCTCATTAGTGTTCATGAGACTGAGTCGCTTATTACCATCCCTGTCCTTGTGGGTCTCCACCACCGTCCCCATCTCACTCTTCTTGTACTGTTGGCCAGGGAACAAGCAGCTCAGTTTCACTACTCTCTAATACTTTAGTATATCAAACTTCCAGCAATTCAACATATATACCCTACCACTCAGTATGTCAACCCTCCCACTCACTATGTCAACCCTCCCACTCACTATGTCAACCCTCCCACTCACTATGTCAACCCTACCACTCACTATGTCAACCCTACCACTCACTATGTCAACCCTACCACTCACTATGTCAACTCTCCCACTCACTATGTCAACCCTCCCACTCAGTATGTCAACCCTGCCACTCAGTATGTCAACCCTCCCACTCAGTATGTCAACCCTCCCACTCAGTATGTCAACCCTCCCACTCAGTATGTCAACCCTCCCACTCAGTATGTCAACCCTCCCACTCAGTATGTCAACCCTCCCACTCAGTATGTCAACCCTCCCACTCAGTATGTCAACCCTCCCACTCAGTATGTCAACCCTCCCACTCAGTATGTCAACCCTCCCACTCAGTATGTCAACCCTCCCACTCAGTATGTCAACCCTCCCACTCAGTATGTCAACCCTCCCACTCAGTATGTCAACCCTCCCACTCAGTATGTCAACCCTCCCACTCAGTATGTCAACCCTCCCACTCAGTATGTCAACCCTCCCACTCAGTATGTCAACCCTCCCACTCAGTATGTCAACCACTCAGTATGTCAACCCTCCCACCCAGTATGTCAACTCTCCCACCCAGTATGTCAACCCTCCCACCCAGTATGTCAACCCTCCCACCCAGTATGTCAACCCTCCCACCCAGTATGTCAACCCTCCCACCCAGTATGTCAACCCTCCCACCCAGTATGTCAACCCTCCCACCCAGTATGTCAACCCTCCCACCCAGTATGTCAACCCTCCCACCCAGTATGTCAACCCTCCCACCCAGTATGTCAACCCTCCCACCCAGTATGTCAACCCTCCCACCCAGTATGTCAACCCTCCCACCCAGTATGTCAACCCTCCCACCCAGTATGTCAACCCTCCCACCCAGTATGTCAACCCTCCCACCCAGTATGTCAACTCTCCCACCCAGTATGTCAACCCTCCCACCCAGTATGTCAACCCTCCCACTCAGTATGTCAACCCTCCCACCCAGTATGTCAACCCTCCCACCCAGTATGTCAACCCTCCCACCCAGTATGTCAACCCTCCCACTCAGTATGTCAACCCTCCCACCCAGTATGTCAACCCTCCCACTCAGTATGTCAACCCTCCCACTCAGTATGTCAACTCTCCCACTCAGTATGTCAACCCTCCCACCCAGTATGTCAACCCTCCCACCCAGTATGTCAACCCTCCCACCCAGTATGTCAACCCTCCCACCCAGTATGTCAACCCTCCCACTCAGTATGTCAACCCTCCCACCCAGTATGTCAACCCTCCCACCCAGTATGTCAACCCTCCCACCCAGTATGTCAACCCTCCCACCCAGTATGTCAACCCTCCCACCCAGTATGTCAACCCTCCCACCCAGTATGTCAACCCTCCCACCCAGTATGTCAACTCTCCCACTCAGTATGTCAACTCTCCCACTCAGTATGTCAACTCTCCCACTCAGTATGTCAACCTTCCCACTCAGTATGTCAACTCTCCCACTCAGTATGTCAACCCTGCCACTCAGTATGTCAACTCTCCCACTCAGTATGTCAACCCTCCCACCCAGTATGTCAACCCTCCCACCCAGTATGTCAACCCTCCCACCCAGTATGTCAACTCTCCCACCCAGTATGTCAACCCTCCCACCCAGTATGTCAACCCTCCCACTCACTATGTCAACTCTCCCACTCAGTATGTCAACCCTGCCACTCACTATGTCAACTCTGCCACTCACTATGTCAACTCTGCCACTCACTATGTCAACTCTGCCACTCACTATGTCAACTCTGCCACTCACTATGTCAACTCTGCCACTCACTATGTCAACTCTGCCACTCACTATGTCAACTCTCCCACTCAGTATGTCAACTCTCCCACTCAGTATGTCAACTCTCCCACTCAGTATGTCAACTCTCCCACTCAGTATGTCAACTCTCCCACTCAGTATGTCAACTCTCCCACTCAGTATGTCAACTCTCCCACTCAGTATGTCAACTCTCCCACTCAGTATGTCAACTCTCCCACTCAGTATGTCAACTCTCCCACTCAGTATGTCAACTCTCCCACTCAGTATGTCAACTCTCCCACTCAGTATGTCAACTCTCCCACTCAGTATGTCAACTCTCCCACTCAGTATGTCAACTCTCCCACTCAGTATGTCAACTCTCCCACTCAGTATGTCAACTCTCCCACTCAGTATGTCAACTCTCCCACTCACTATGTCAACTCTCCCACTCACTATGTCAACTCTCCCACTCACTATGTCAACTCTCCCACTCACTATGTCAACTCTGCCACTCACTATGTCAACTCTCCCACTCACTATGTCAACTCTCCCACTCACTATGTCAACTCTCCCACTCACTATGTCAACTCTCCCACTCAGTATGTCAACTCTCCCACTCACTATGTCAACTCTCCCACTCACTATGTCAACTCTCCCACTCAGTATGTCAACACTCAGTATGTCAACTCTCCCACTCAGTATGTCAACTCTCCCACTCAGTATGTCAACTCTCCCACTCAGTATGTCAACTCTCCCACTCAGTATGTCAACTCTCCCACTCAGTATGTCAACTCTCCCACTCAGTATGTCAACTCTCCCACTCAGTATGTCAACTCTCCCACTCAGTATGTCAACCCTCCCACTCAGTATGTCAACTCTCCCACTCAGTATATCAACCCTCCCACTCAGTATGTCAGTATGTCAACCTCCCACTCAGTATGTCAACCCTCCCACTCAGTATGTCAACCCTCCCACTCAGTATGTACTCAGTATGTCAACCCTCCCACTCAGTATGTCAACCCTCCCACTCCAACCCTCCCACTCAGTATGTCAACCCTCCCACTCAGTATGTCAACCCTCCCACTCAGTATGTCAACCCTCCCACTCAGTATGTCAACCCTCCCACTCAGTATGTCAACCCTCCCACTCAGTATGTCAACCCTCCCACTCAGTATGTCAACCCTCCCACTCAGTATGTCAACCCTCCCACTCAGTATGTCAACCCTCCCACTCAGTATGTCAACCCTCCCACTCAGTATGTCAACCCTCCCACTCAGTATGTCAACCCTCCCACTCAGTATGTCAACCCTCCCACTCAGTATGTCAACCCTCCCACTCAGTATGTCAACCCTCCCACTCAGTATGTCAACCCTCCCACTCAGTATGTCAACCCTCCCACTCAGTATGTCAACCCTCCCACTCAGTATGTCAACCCTCCCACTCAGTATGTCAACCCTCCCACTCAGTATGTCAACCCTCCCACTCAGTATGTCAACCCTCCCACTCACTATCTCAACCCTCCCACTCACTATGTCAACCTTGCCACTCAGTATGTCAACTCTCCCACTCAGTATGTCAACCCTCCCACTCAGTATGTCAACCCTCCCACTCAGTATGTCAACCCTCCCACTCAGTATGTCAACCCTCCCACTAGTATGTCAACCCTCCCACTCAGTATGTCAACCCTCCCACTCAGTATGTCAACCCTCACCACCCTCCCACTCAGTATGTCAACCCTCCCACTCAGTATGTCAACCCTCCCACTCAGTATGTCAACCCTCCCACTCAGTATGTCAACCCTCCCACGCAGTATGTCAACTCTCCCACTCACTATCTCAACCCTCCCACTCACTATGTCAACCTTGCCACCCAGTATGTCAACTCTCCCACTCAGTATGTCAACCCTCCCACTCTCTATGTCACTCTCCCAGTCATGTATGTCAACCTCTCCCACTCTCTATGTCAACTCTCCCACTCACTATGTCAACCCTCACTATGTCACTCACTCAGTATGTCAACCCTGCCACTCACTATGTCAACTCTCCCACTCAGTATATCAACCCTGCCACTCACTATGTCAACCCTGCCACTCACTATGTCAACCTCCGAGACACCATTATCGCCAGCTTCCATCAGCCACAAAGTACAAGTACAACATATAAGCCAAAGTGTTACCAAGGAGACTGGTCACAAACCTTGTACTTCTCCATTGGGTCAATATCCTCATCCTTGAGGCCGAGGGCAGTCATCATGTACTGAATCTTCTTCACCATCTGCTCCTGCATCAGGTTGATACACATAGACAGTAGTGCCATTCCTGGAAGACCAACAAGATAGATGTAAAAATATCTAGTTGAAAATAAATCGCTAACATAATAAATAATAAAAATAACAGTTTTGAATGTAATGAAACGCCAATTTCTGGGTGAGTCTGTGAAGGTGCCTGGCTGTTATGGCTCCCAGCCACTAGGTGGCATCACTTCGTGGCGGTCACTTCACCCTACTGGGGACCAGAGCTAGAGCCTGGCCCCTCACACAGGCGCAGGGAGCACGTGACACTGTCACCTCACCAGGCAACCCGTCCCTGAATGAAGTCCATTACATCCAGCGGTCGACCACTCTGGCGTATTCATGAATTTTAACATAATATTTATTCATAATAATATTAATTTATTTTTGAGAAATTTCCTGTTATATATTAGCATACTGTACATATTTAGGCATAGGTTAGGTTAGCTTAGGTGTTTACATTCTGTTGGCGATTATTTGTGTATATAGTACGTGGGTGAAGCATTTACAGCGTTGTGGTTCGAACAAAAGTCGTCAGCGAAGCACTTGTTTGAGACATGTTGTAACGTCATCAGTTGTGAGTAGTGTGTCAGCCCGTTCTCCAAACAAAGACCCAAAAGTGATTCCATGCACCCCGAAACCTCCTGTTTATGAATGAAAAACGGTTAACACACGACTCACAAATGATGATGTTCGAACACTTCCGGAACAAGTGCTTCACTGACGACTTTTGTTCGAACCACAACGCTATAAATGCTTCACCCACGTACTACAAATACAAATAATCGCCAACAGAACCTAAACACCTAACCTAATCTATGTCTCTTTAAGCCATGAGCTTAAACTTTCTATTACTGTTTTCTCTTCTGAGTAAGTCTGAAATACACCTGTTTTAAATTTCCTGGGTATTGAACTGCTATTAGCGAACTTATACAAGCAAAGGCAAGAGGACGAGAGCTAGAGCTCGGGGCCTGACAGCTGAGTGAACAGGGCTTCGGATTCGTTGTCCTGAGGTTCTGGGTTCGATCACCGATGAAGGCGGAAACAAATGGGCAAAGTTTCTTTCACCCTGATGCCCCTGTTACCTAGCAGTAAATAGGTACCTGGGAGTTAGACAGCTGCAATAGGCTGCTTCGTGTGTAGCCAAAAGGAGGCTTGGTCGAGGACCGGGCCGCGGGGATGCTAAGCCCTGAAATAAACTCAAGATAACCTCGGTAACTTTATCTCGTTTACTACGTCTGAAATACAGTAGTTTTAAATTCGGCGAAAGTTGGGCTAATAGTAGCGAAGTTACGCGAGTAAACTAAGGTGGAGACCAGGAGCTGAAACTCAGTAAGAAAAGAAAATAAAGTTACCAAGTCTAAAATATGACTGTTCTAAATCTCAGGGAAATTGGACTGTTAGTAGCATTGTTATAAGAGTGAAGTTATAAAAGTGAACGTCTAGAGCCGGGTCCAAGAGCTAACATCTGGGAATTACTTAACAAAAAACTAATGAACGTATCTGTAAGAACACGGACATCCTCTGATATTAACTTGACTCTTAAATAGCAAGAGTATAGTGTGTATATTTTTCTACACAACAATTCCATTGAAGTTTAACAAAATGTCAAAACAAATGCTTAAGACCGTAGAGTTTATTTCCCCATAGGAACACTTAAGACCGTAGAGTTTATTTCCAAGTAAGAACTCTTAAAACCGTAGAGTTTATTTCCTCATAAGAACTCTTAAGACCGTAGAGTTTATTTCCCCATAAGAACTCTTAAGACCGCAACGGTAAATTGGGACGGAAATTTTTTACCAAAACGATACTTTTACATAAACCGTGTGACACAGCTGTAACTGTGACACGGCGGTAACTGTCTGACACGGCGGTAACTGTCTGACACGGCGGTAACTGTCTGACACGGCGGTAACTGTCTGACACGGCGGTAACTGTCTGACACGGCGGTAACTGTCTGACACGGCGGTAACTGCGTGACACGGCGGTAACTGCGTGACACGGCAGTAACTGCGTGACACGGCGGTAACTGCGTGACACGGCGGTAACTGCGTGACACGGCGGTAACTGCGTGACACGGCGGTAACTGTCTGACACGGCGGTAACTGTCTGACACGGCGGTAACTGTCTGACACGGCGGTAACTGTCTGACACGGCGGTAACTGTCTGACACGGCGGTAACTGCGTGACACGGCGGTAACTGCGTGACACGGCGGTAACTGCGTGACACGGCGGTAACTGCGTGACACGGCGGTAACTGCGTGACACGGCGGTAACTGCGTGACACGGCGGTAACTGCGTGACACGGCGGTAACTGCGTGACACGGCGGTAACTGCACGGCGGTGACACGGCGGTAACTGTCTGACACGGCGGTAACTGTCTGACACGGCGGTAACTGTCTGACACGGCGGTAACTGCGTGACACGGCGGTAACTGCGTGACACGGCGGTAACTGCGTGACACGGCGGTAACTGCGTGACACGGCGGTAACTGCGTGACACGGCGGTAACTGCGTGACACGGCGGTAACTGCGTGACACGGCGGTAACTGCGTGACACGGCGGTAACTGCGTGACACGGCGGTAACTGTCTGACACGGCGGTAACTGTCTGACACGGCGGTAACTGCGTGACACGGCGGTAACTGCGTGACACGGCGGTAACTGCGTGACACGGCGGTAACTGCGTGACACGGCGGTAACTGCGTGACACGGCGGTAACTGCGTGACACGGCGGTAACTGCGTGACACGGCGGTAACTGCGTGACACGGCGGTAACTGCGTGACACGGCGGTAACTGCGTGACACGGCGGTAACTGCCTGACACGGCGGTAACTGCCTGACACGGCGGTAACTGCCTGACACGGCGGTAACTGCGTGACACGGCAGTAACTGCGTGACACGGCGGTAACTGTCTGACACGGCGGTAACTGTCTGACACGGCGGTAACTGTCTGACACGGCGGTAACTGTCTGACACGGCGGTAACTGTCTGACACGGCGGTAACTGCGTGACACGGCGGTAACTGCGTGACACGGCGGTAACTGCGTGACACGGCGGTAACTGCGTGACACGGCGGTAACTGCGTGACACGGCGGTAACTGCGTGACACGGCGGTAACTGCGTGACACGGCGGTAACTGCGTAACTGACACGGCGGTAACTGCGTGACACGGCGGTAACTGCGTGACACGGCGGTAACTGCGTGACACGGCGGTAACTGCGTGACACGGCGGTAACTGCGTGACACGGCGGTACACTGCGGTAACTGCGTGACACGGCGGTAACTGCGTGACACGGCGGTAACTGCGTGACACGGCGGTAACTGCGTGACACGGCGGTAACTGCGTGACACGGCGGTAACTGCGTGACACGGCGGTAACTGCGTGACACGGCGGTAACTGCGTGACACGGCGGTAACTGCGTGACACGGCGGTAACTGCGTGACACGGCGGTAACTGCGTGACACGGCGGTAACTGCGTGACACGGCGGTAACTGCGTGACACGGCGGTAACTGCGTGACACGGCGGTAACTGCGTGACACGGCGGTAACTGCGTGACACGGCGGTAACTGCGTGACACGGCGGTAACTGCGTGACACGGCGGTAACTGCGTGACACGGCGGTAACTGCGTGACACGGCGGTAACTGCGTGACACGGCGGTAACTGCGTGACACGGCGGTAACTGCCTGACACGGCGGTAACTGCCTGACACGGCGGTAACTGCCTGACACGGCGGTAACTGCCTGACACGGCGGTAACTGCGTGACACGGCGGTAACTGCGTGACACGGCGGTAACTGCGTGACACGGCGGTAACTGCCTGACACGGCGGTAACTGCGTGACACGGCAGTAACTGCGTGACACGGCAGTAACTGCGTGACACGGCAGTAACTGCGTGACACGGCAGTAACTGCGTGACACGGCAGTAACTGCGTGACACGGCAGTAACTGCGTGACACGGCAGTAACTGCGTGACACGGCAGTAACTGCGTGACACGGCAGTAACTGCGTGACACGGCAGTAACTGCGTGACACGGCAGTAACTGCGTGACACGGCAGTAACTGCGTGACACGCAGTAACTGCGTGACACGGCAGTAACTGCGTGACACGGCAGTAACTGCGTGACACGGCAGTAACTGCGTGACACGGCAGTAACTGCGTGACACGGCAGTAACTGCGTGACACGGCAGTAACTGCGTGACACGGCAGTAACTGCGTGACACGGCAGTAACTGCGTGACACGGCAGTAACTGCGTGACACGCAGTAACTGCGTGACACGGCAGTAACTGCGTGACACGGCAGTAACTGCGTGACACGGCAGTAACTGCGTGACACGGCAGTAACTGCGTGACACGGCAGTAACTGCGTGACACGGCAGTAACTGCGTGACACGGCAGTAACTGCGTGACACGGCAGTAACTGCGTGACACGGCAGTAACTGCGTGACACGGCAGTAACTGCGTGACACGGCAGTAACTGCGTGACACGGCAGTAACTGCGTGACACAGCAGTAACTGCGTGACACGGCAGTAACTGCGTGACACGGCAGTAACTGCGTGACACGGCAGTAACTGCGTGACACGGCAGTAACTGCGTGACACAGTAACTGCGTGACACAGCAGTAACTGCGTGACACAGCAGTAACTGCGTGACACAGCAGTAACTGCGTGACACAGCAGTAACTGCGTGACACAGCAGTAACTGCGTGACACAGCAGTAACTGCGTGACACAGCAGTAACTGCGTGACACAGCAGTAACTGCGTGACACAGCAGTAACTGCGTGACACAGCAGTAACTGCGTGACACAGCAGTAACTGCGTGACACAGCAGTAACTGCGTGACACAGCAGTAACTGCGTGACACAGCAGTAACTGCGTGACACAGCAGTAACTGCGTGACACAGCAGTAACTGCGTGACACAGCAGTAACTGCGTGACACAGCAGTAACTGCGTGACACAGCAGTAACTGCGTGACACAGCAGTAACTGCGTGACACAGCAGTAACTGCGTGACACAGCAGTAAC